TAGCGCCGTTTTCGCCATGCTGCGCTCGTGTCACACGGATTTCGCACGCTTTACAAGGGCCTCATTTAATGCCTGGTTGACTCTGAACAACGACTTCCCCCTCCTCAGCCCCCGTCCCTAGGAGATAACAGCTGCTACTGTTGTCGCTGGTTTAAGCCATGAAAACCCTCCCCGCCCGACTACAGCTGTTCTCTCAGCTTCGTCCCCTCGGGCTAAAGCCAACCATAACAATAAGAGCGCGTGCCGCGCCGCACAACCAGCCCGCCCGTCCTCAGAGCCACACGCGTCCCGCCACACCTGACCGGCACCTCACGTGACGCCGCCGGTCCCGCCCACTCCGACTGTCAATCAATACTTGGTGGAGTAGAAATCAATGAGGGGCGGGAAAGGAGATTGGATTCCACTGACAGGATCAGATGACAGCAGATCGGGATCTACTACAAATACTCATCACAACACACACCGATACACAGAATAACATAACCTGCAATGTGTCTTCCCATAATAAAGTACTTCATAGAAGAGACAGATGTCCTCTGATGCTGGTTTTATGCTGCACACATTTGGGAAATGTATCAAAACTGCAGCAGACATAATCTGGAGCCGTTGCCCATGGCAACCAATCAGCTTCTCTCTTCAGTTAAGCGTTAAAAATGAAAGTTAGACGCTGATTGGTTGCCATGCAACTGCTCCAAAAGTATTTGGAGCAGTTGCATGGCAACCAACCAGCTTCCACCTTTTATTTTTTTTGTCATTTTTCACTGTCTGGTCCAGTTTTGATCACTTCCCTTCATTGTAGATGAGGGACCGGATAGTAAATAGTGTATTTACCATGCAGAGCCACGCTGGAAATGGCTTTTAGTGACTGTGTACAATGTAATCAGTTGTACTTTCCACTATTGCTTCACTGCACACTCTTCCTTCATATAGGAAAGCGGCTGATGGTAAACAATGTTCACATCCAGCATTGCCTGCTTTTCCTTTCACTCTTCTCACAGCCTGATTACACTGTCCATACACTGGTAGATCTCTGCGGGCTGAATGAAGAAAATATAACAGATTCCTCCATCAACGCTTACGAGCATTGATCGAGGAATCCAGCGCTGTCTTCATTGTATTCTGATGGTGTCGCCAGCCAGTGTCAGAATACCTGAACAGAGCTGGCAGCTTATTGGCTTGATTTTCCAACCAGCTCCTTCGTACAGCTGATCAAGGGATGCCGGGCGAAAGTGTGCCGACATCGTTACTCACTGTGAATTTCATCAAGATCTAAATTGCATAGTGTATGCCCAGCTTAAATGAAAGCATGACATTTGGAATGACATTCGTCGTCTCTGACGACTTTATCGAATGTTCTGATGAGGTTTTTCATATGAAAGTTCGTATAAAAACCCTTCCCGCTCCTTCAATTTTTTTTGGTTGCTGTGGCAGAAAACAGTCACCAATTCGTCCCCTGTTAACTATCGCAGAATTAAACGAACGTTCCGAAAATTAATTATTTTACAAACGTCTAATGGTGTATGGATAGGGTTGCCACCTGTCCAGGATTCACCCGGACAGTCCGGGTTTTGAATGCTGTGTCCAGGTTTCATGGCACCAGAAACCCGGACACAAGATGTCAGGCAGACAGGGGCAACCAAAATTAAGATAGGGGCTACTGGCCTCCCCACTGAAAATAGTCTCAACTGTGATATATACATATGAATGGGCGGCGCTATTTACATATGAATAGGCCATGACTCATTCTTCCCAAAAAATGTCCGCGTGTCGCTAGAGTGTTCGGGTTTCGCTTGAAGAAAAGGTGGCAACCCTATGTATGGACGGCTTAAGATCCTGGAACCCAATGACACAGCCAGGTAGAGGGAAAACACAACTAAGAGCTTAATTCCGCCGTGTTTACCCAGAGAACACACAGACACAATTCACTCCAGAATCAGCTTCTGACACCTTGAAATCATCCATTCTACAGCTGTCATATTTCACATACATCTTCATAGCAGACGCCATCATTCCTCATAGATCACCATTT